CCGCTGCAGTGAAGACCTAGCATAGCATTAAAAAGGAGGAAAGCCAGCATCTGGTGATTTCCATGAGTTCAAGACCTCAGGCTGTCATTGCATAGAAATGAAGACTTTATTTTCAGTTATTTAATTTATCTGGTTACTTTTGAGTCCCTGAAATGATGGGATTGTGTTAGACTTTTATGCAATCCTAAATTAAAGCTGAAAGTCTGCACCTCAGCTGCATCTGAGTTGTTTCATTTAAAATTCATTGTGGTAACGTACAGAACCAAAATTAGAAAAATGTGGTATTCAAACACCACTTTAGTGAAGTCCCAGAATAAAACTGAGGAGCTGGAAATCATAATAACAGGTGCCTGTTAAAAATTACAGTTACACTTCCCATGAAGTTGTCTTTGAACCATGATTTTTTTTGTGCAACACAACCATGCAACTAAAGGCAGATCTGTATATACAGTGTGTGATTAGCATGACACTGAGTTGGGGTATTTTGGTTTGTTTTCTAATCATTTATTTTTTAGATTATCATCCATCATATTTTTGTAACTCCCCCCCCCCTGTGATTAAAACAGGAGCAAAGCAGAGCAATCACACACCTGTTTCTTCTTTGCTGATTCTTAATCACATCCAGGTTTCTGGAATTAATTCTTGTCTCTGTGTGGTGTAATCCATCTTGCATGTGTGGAAACCAGTGAACAGGCTACTAATTGGACACAGAAATGAGCAAGGAATTGCACAGAATGAGAAAAATCAATATCGTGAGCATGTTTGAGGAGGTAAGAGGGAGCATCAGGACTGTTTTCACTAAAGTATGATAACATCAGTGACTTCCTCTGCCTGCTACAACTGAATTTGAACCAGCTCTGAATTTATTTTCTTGGGCTATTTTAATTCCGTCTGTGCTGTAAGGATACTGAGACATGTTTTTGCTGTTTGTCTGTGCTGTAAATAGGTTTGTGCACCAGGTCCCTCAGTAACATAGCTCACTATCAAGGTGACTGATTAAGACTGTCAGTGTCCACCAGTACTTCTAATTACAAACCTTCCCCAGCTCCAGATGTGAAAAAGATTAAACCTGACTATTTCTAATTCAAGTCACGGTAAATGTTCTACCCTACCTATCTGAGAGTAACTAATCCCATCCTAATGAGCTCCACTTGTCATATTTCCCGTTACAAGTTTTCGCCTTCCCTTCTGTCTCTGACTCCCAGAACTTCGGCGTTCACATGCTGAAGACGGTGCGCCTGCTACGCCTTTTACGCCTCCTGCAGAAGCTGGATCGTTACTCCCAGTACAGCGCTGTGGTCCTCACGCTGCTCATGTCCACCTTTGCACTGCTGGCCCACTGGATGGCCTGCGTGTGGTACTTCATTGGGCGCAGCGAGATCGAAAGTAATAGCCTCACCTCCTGGGATATAGGTTCGTGTCTATGTGTCTTTATTGTGGTTTCATTTAAAGATTTACGGGGATTCATTTGATGGGGGAGCAAAAGAGCAAAGAGACAGGGAGACAGACCCAATCAAAGATTGTGCGTGTCATTTTAAATGCTCCGAAACAAAGCATGAAGATACTCTTCTACGTGCAGCTTGTATGTGTGTCCTTTCACTGCGAAAACACTTCTAATTATGGTGATCTGTTTCCCCTCCTACTGCGCTCACCGGTGCCAAACAACAACAATACTGCGAGGTGCATGTGGTGCTGGTGCTTATCCTGTTTGAGCGATTTAACGCAACAAAGCGCAATGACACAAAAGAGTAGAGAGGGAGGACGATGGTGAGCAGCGGTTAAAGATATATGGTTTTCTCTGGTTTGTAGATGCACGTGGATGTAAATGTACACGTGGGGTGGGCTAAGGTGGAGAAGTGGGTCAGCCGTTTATCATAGGGTTGGTAATTGAGCTTGCACAAATTGCTTCCAATGAGCAGGCTTGTTCTCCACTAGTCAGGCTTAATGAGAGTTGTGCACACGAGGTTTAAAAGCTCTCTTACCAGTTTATTTATGTAACACTACACAAGTCAGCTCCGGGTTTGCTACAATTCAGACAAAAAGCTGTGTTTTACTCTTGAAATTACAATATTCTGATAGAGACTCAGCAGGAAAGAAGACAAGGGAGCAGACAATAATGCACAAAAGTCTCTGTATTTTGCTTCCAAGGAGACGGACATTATGTGTTTTGTTTAAATTGGTCTTGAGCAATAGTTCTCCAGGGTTTCTGAAGGTCTTTCAAAGTCTTATTTGGCTGCTTTGTACAGTCCTTGTACTCATCCATCTTCTGATGGATAGGGATGATGTTGTGTCTACACATAACAGACAACTTAGCAAAGAACACATTTTAAATTGTATCTTTGGCTACTAAAGAACAGCCTGTTCCAGATCTAGTCATAGGTTTTTGTCCATTTTTGCATCTGTTTTCTGTTTTGTGAAATGAATATATGACTAGATAATTGAGTTGAACTTTTTTAAGCATTATAAGAGTATGTTATATCGGTATTGTGCGCCACTAGGATGCCTAATCATTTTAAAGCCATTTAGGGTTCAAGGAATGACCTCTGCTTATATACGTGATGCCCGTTACTGTGGTTGATTAAGTAGTAGTGTGAAGCAAATATGAGAAGTCCCTTGTGATGTAAGTAATTTCTAAGAGACTTTGACTTCCTGTCAAAATGTTAAAACAGCCACAAGCTGACAGATAATGAGACTTATTATTTGCACTGTGCATAAATACAATCTGACATTAAAATGCTTGCATGCTGTGTCAGACGTGTACTCCCAAATGCACATACACCAAAGCTGAAGGAATGACTCTACCCTTCCAGGCTTGTTACCACCGCTAATGAAGCCTTCTAGTAAAGGTCATCAAACAAACACAGTTGCACTCTCATTAAACTGACAAACTCTTCTGGACTGTCCCACTTCCCCCACCAGGCTGGCTCCATGAACTGGCCAAACGCTTGGGAACGCCATACTTTATGGCACCGCTGACCTCCCTGCTGGGAGTCTCTGAATCGCCTCAAGACACTGTGACAGCAGGACTAAGCAATTACAGCCAGTGGAACGGCTCTAGTTTGGAGCCACTGAACGGGGCGAGCGTGTTGGATTCAGGCCAGTGGAATGGCAGCAAGACCAGAGTGAGGGCACCGAATGGCTCAGGGATGACAGTGAGCGGCGGACCGTCTGTCAGGAGCTCCTACGTGACATCACTCTACTTTGCCCTGAGCAGTCTGACCAGTGTGGGCTTTGGCAACGTTTCGGCCAACACTGACTCTGAGAAGATCTTCTCCATCTGCACCATGCTGATCGGAGGTGGGCAAAACCTCAACATCAAAATCAGATGTTCTTAACCCTTTACAGCCTGAGCCATAAAAAATATCTGTCTGTCTGTTGGGTTTTTTCAACAACCAAAAAAATTATGTAGGAACATTTTTTCCGTTAAAATACAAAACCTCATTGTTTGTTTGTTTTTTGCTTTTTTATGCAAATGAGTAACTGTGTAAGTGGTAAAATTTAATGCTTGGTTTTCAAAATATGGAAAACAAATCTGTTAAAACAAATATATATTAGTCCCACAAGGGGAAATTTTTATATATATAGATAGATATACCACTTTTGCCCAGTAATCCCAAGTTATTTAAACCTCACACTGCACATTTCATGCTGGACGTTAAGCGAACTCACACAAGTACCTCAAGTACTGCAAAAAACATCTCACTGAGCAGCTTTTCAGGTGTTCTTACCTGTTTTTCTGTCTCCTCTGCAGCATTAATGCATGCTGTGGTTTTTGGTAACGTTACCGCCATCATCCAGAGGATGTACTCACGTCGCTCCCTCTACCACACCCGCACCAAGGACCTGAAGGACTTTATTCGTGTGCACAGGTTACCCAAGGTGCTGGAGCAACGCATGATGGAGTGTTTCCAGACAACCTGGTCTGTCAACAACGGTATTGATGTCAGTGAGGTAGGAAGGATGACATTTGGTCTTGATAGTGCAGGAATCTAAGATAGATCTCAGGTACTGCTGCCCTGAGGCAAAAGTAAAACTCATAGGAGTGTTTGTGCATCCAATTCAGTGAATTCTAGATGGAAACAAATGTGAGACTGATCCTTTAACGTTCTCAAACGGACATGTGGCCTCTGTAGCATGGATTAGCCACAATGGGATAAAGTGGAGTGAAAGTGCAGATGAGGTGACTCGTCCTCCAGGCAGACTAGAAAATAAATAAATATATATATAAAAAAAAAAAACACGGCTCCCAGTCATTGAGAGGATTTGGTTTTTGTTTGGTTTCTCTCACGCTGGAGCAGCCATCTTAATTTAACGGATTAATGGCCTCATAGACTCTAAACTCACTCCTGGTGTGTTTTGCCACCAGTTGGTTTTAAATCTAGATAATCCTGTCTTTTTTTTTTAAGAAATAACATCATGGAGGACAGACGCTCTTACTTTGACATGACTACCAGCAACTTTCCTCCTTGCAAAGTTTTCCCCTTTTCCACATTACACTAGGCCTTTCCCTTTAGAAACCAGCGAGATCGTGCGAGTGAGTAAATATGCAAAAACATTTTAAGCCTTTAAACCTCTTGCTGAACATGCATGTATGAGCTGCTTGTGACTATGTGGGAAGGTGAAAAGGTTTTATTTTGGCTGTTACCTTCACCTTCCCACACATTACATTCAGAGGATGGTAGAGAAAGTTGAGAAGCCTCTAACAGCAGCAGAAGTTGAGGCAGAGATTGAGCCATGTTCTCGTTCCGTCTTCAGCTGCTGAAGGACTTCCCGGATGAGCTCAGAGCCGACATCGCGATGCACTTGAATAAAGAGCTGCTGCAGCTGCCGCTCTTTGAATCGGCCAGCAGGGGGTGTCTGCGCTCCCTCTCCCTGATCATCAAGACCTCCTTTTGCGCTCCGGGGGAGTTCCTCATCCGCCAGGGTGACGCGCTCCAGGCTATCTACTTTGTATGCTCCGGCTCCATGGAAGTCCTGAAGGACAACACTGTGCTAGCCATTTTAGGTAAAGAAAAACAAAATCAGCTCATTTTGACTACATACCCAAACAGTTCAATCATAAATTACGTTTCCTTATTTTCTGTCATATATACACTGTTACTATGAGAGACGCTTATATTAAACATGACCAAAATTTTAAACCATGAGGTCGGTGTCCACACAAGTTATCCCTGTGACCCAAAAGCTTACGTTTATAACCTTGGCTCTGTCTTAAGTCATAGAGAAGGGTGATTTTTAATATGGTCACCTCAAGCATACAGCCCAGTCTGCCCACCTGCTGTTCAGACCCCCTGTTTGTGAGAGACTAAAGAAGTACTGACAGTTCTTTATGTAGTACACCCATTCCCAACGTCAAAAAGTCTGCAAGACCCTTAAGAACCAGGCAATCCAATGGGGCCACCCAATAATCAAACTCTTATCAAAATACTAATCTGATCAAAAAGTGATGTATTTCCTTGAAATGTCTGCAAGAAAGAACATAAATGGCACAGGCGATTGGCAATAAACAGCTAATGCTACCCAGTCATATGCAAAGTCTTTAATGTCCAAGAGTCCAAGAATGAAAGTATAGAGTTAAATATAGGCATAAGAGGCCATTTAGCCATTTAGATAAACCGTGTTGGATCAAGGACACATCTAAAACCTGCAGGACACCAGCCCTCGACACCTGTGCTCTAGACCATAGAAGCTCTCCTTGATTTTGGCAGGAAACAGGCTTAAAAACCAGCATTTATCTGAGAGTGCACGAGGATGGAGCTAAAGAGGCCTACAGTCATTTCTTTGTATGATTAATAGAGTTCAGTGAGCTTCAGAGGAAAAGAGCGCTGTCATTATTGCCTTCGTTGAGTGCCAGATAGCCGTCATGGGAGGTTTGCTCTCGAGTCGAGTCATCGAAACCTCTTTCCGCTCTTCATTCGTGGCCATTACCGTTGCACGGTCTCTCTTTGTGCTGCAGTGAGAATTGGAAATTGAGTGAAATGTTTGCACAGAAAGATGACCCAAAGGTGATCCAGGTGAAACTAACAGTTTAGTTGCAGAAGCTTACGTCAGCTGTTAGTTAAACAGTGGCGGCACTTTGCAAGCTCCGGTATGACATTTGTGCACAAGCACAAATGTAGGGTTGCCCCTATGAAGTAATAATATTTCAAAATGCTGGAAAAATTATTTCTAGAGTTGTGATGGTGGCATATAAGGTTGCTTTTAAAACACACGGGAAATCAACGACAGGAAGACAAAATAGAAGATAAGGAATCTTCCTTTTTAATCTCATCTGCTTGCAAGCAAATATGTTTTGTCTGGTCTCAGTGCTGTGTGCAAAGATGGAAAAAGGCTGTTTAACACTAAGGTCGTTATTAGGTTTTCAAGATTTAATAGCCGGCTTTTATGGAGACGAACATAATTAAGAAGAGCGGCCCAGAGCTTATAAAACTGCAGTCATATTAAACCGTCCCTGTGGGCAACAATAAACACCCCATCAGATGGAAGATGGAGTGTGACCCAGGGATTGATGAGACCGTTTGGGAGCACCCATAACCCCTAAAGCAAACCTATAAACAACATTAATGTGTGAATTAATGAATTATTCATTTCTCCACTTAGCTGTGGTGGAACAAGTTGTAGACATGTTGACATGCTGTCAGACACTTTGCACTATACGTAAACAGTGTCAGACATCCAGCTGTTGCGGAGCGAGACTCGTCCTATCCCGCAAGTATTTTATTGAAGTGAGGGCTGTTTGTCTGAAAGAAAAAAAAGAGGCTAAAAAGCTCTGGGATATGGGAGATAATCTGTGGGTTCAGGATGTTTGAGCCAATTTCAATGCAAAAAAGCAGCACAGAGACAGCAGCTTCACTTGAGAGCGGGGAATGGCTAACAACATCAAACCACCACTGAGAATATTCCTGCAGTTTCACCTTTAAATTGCACCGCAAGCATCTTGTTAAACAGCTGAAATCACCAACCTGGGTCAATGTCATACCGCCACAATAAGAGCCTCTCCAGGGTCTTGTCCTACAACACGTACATCGACACGCTTTCCATTCCGACGTGGATAAAACAGAATACAGAATCATAAACACACTCGCAAACAGCACTGGAATCAGTTCAGGTCCACATGAAGTGGAGGTAGCAAATTAGCAACAATGTTTTTCATTTTAATGAGCTAACTGGTGTAAATAATAAAGTGACTGCTGCCTACAGAGGAGAGACAGCAAACTCGTTAGTATGTCTGACCTGCATGTGTTATTGGGTGCACACATGCAGGCTTAAAGGCATGCATTTCTTGCTTTCTTATACATATAGAGGTGAGCAAACAGTGCTTTTTTTCTTATCACAGTATTCCTGTCTGCTCTTTCTCTCACACACACACGCACAAATTGGTGTGGCATTGCCTCTTTGGATTTACAGCTCAGGAGACGACAGTGTGGTAAAGAGGGGAAGCAGAAGAAGGAAATGCTGACCTTCTATTCCAATTCATAGCCGTTTATTTGTACTTCACAGTCTAACAATACATGTCACCTTGTCATGGTCTGTGAGTCTTGTTGTAGGTGTTCTAAGGTTTTCCTTATTTCTATAAATATTGTTTTTTTTTTCTTTTTTTTGCCTGTCCCGTTTGGTTCTTTTGCCATCAGAATTATTGTCTAAAGGCGAAGAAAGATGCCCAATTTACTTTACCAAACTGACCATCCCACACTGTAAAACCCAATAAGTTAATTTTACTCAAAACTTTTGGTGAAACTGATTACATAAAATATTTTAAGTAACTAAAACTTAAAAATAAAAGTTAAATAAACACACTTTATTTATTAGCTTTAGATAAATATTTTTAAGTACCATTGATAAATGTTTTTATGTTATATCCACATTTTTGGTTTAGTACTCTACTTGATATTTTGAGTTTCAAGTACAAATCTAGCTCAAGTAACTTTAAGGAATTAATTTTTAGTTTCAAAATGTTAACCATTTTAAGCTAATACAACTCAAAAATTTTAAATACAGAAAATATAAATTCAAGTTACAAATTTATTGAGTTACTTTGACACAAAAAGCCCAAAGACATAAATCCACCACATTTTATAGGGAATAATGTCAGAAATTTTGGCACAAGGTTACAATATTAGAAATAAAGAATTTCACAACATGTTTTAAGAGTATTCAAATTTGATTAACACATGAGTAAGGCCTTTTTATTAAAAAACATACAAAAGGAAAAGAAAATCCTGCATTATTAGGTGGGAAAACCGAATGAAAGTAATAGTATAGTGCAGCTAATACACTGAAATATAATTGGTAACCTTTTTAATATGCCAATACTGTGGTTATGCAAAATGCACATGACAATGGTAGTGCTGAAAATAATGGTGCCAAATAAGGCAAGAAAAACATATTTTAAAGGTGAAATATAGAGGTAAAATCAAAAATAGTCAAGAACGGCCAATTATACCCTGGACCACAGAGGGTTAAATTTGAAAACTGTTTAAAAACAAACAAACATCCATCCCCATTCTAAAATGTCATGTGACAATCTGATTCATAAATGATGTCACAAGGACATGTGATGATGTCACAAGGACATGCCTTTGATCCTTTGAAGTTTTTCTATAAATAGGGGTCAGGAGCAGCAAGTTTTAGTCAGTTTGTTCGCAGCCTTCAAACGTTCGACCAGA